CCAAAGCTCAAAGCAAGACCCAAAAGTGACCAAATCAGCCATGGAAAATGGGGCTGTGAACCAGCAAATACCAGTGGACACAACTTCAGCAACAATCACCATAAAAGGCATCCTGAGCTTGCTGTTGCAGAATGTTGATGAAAATGATAACAGAAGACTGATTTCATTGGGGATGGGTGACCCAACTGCCTATTCTTGCTTCCACACAACCCAAGTGGCTCAAGAAGCTGTTGTTGATGCTATCCAATCTGACAAGTTCAATGGCTATGCTCCTACTGTTGGCCTTCCTCAAACCAGAAGGTAATTTCAGTTTTCTTCTTCTTCTTTTTTTCTTTTAACTTCTGGGAAGATTTACTTTAATTTAATGGCATCAATTGCCTTTTTTCTTTTTTGTTAATGGGATTTCTTGTTTTCATCCAATTCTTGTCCTGGATCCAAGTGCTGCCAATTTGGGTTTGTGGGTTCTTGGTTTTTATGTAGTTTTGTTTCAATCTGCTTTTGAATTCTTTTTGAAGTACTTTTGTAGATTTGTTCAATTAAATAATTTGAACATGCTTCATCCACTTGAAAATCTATCTTTCTACTTTCACTTTCTTAAAGTTTCCGGGCTCAGGCTTTTAAGTTTTTACAAGTTAGTGAATTCTAACAGGGAAAGTAGAAATCAGTCCAGAATAAATAAATAAAAGTAATAATAACTGGAGTAGGAGCAATGTGTGTACCTTATCAGGTAAGGAACTACTTCATCCGAGTCTTGCCAATAATTAGGCAGTCACTCATCGGTCTACATCAGTACATTAACCTCAAACACCTATCATTCTGCTTTGACAAATTGCAGTATATTTTCTTCCGTCACGTGGGTTAGGCCAGTTTGCCAAGTCAATGAGTCCACCCCCTTTACCCAAGTTTGAGTCCCTCTCCCCGTATATTAGATTAATATAGAGTACTTTGTATAAAAATAAATTTGATAAGGCCATGTTTAATAGTGACAGTCCATTTGATGCATGTGTTGGATTATACACTGCAAGCTTGTAAGGCAAGAAAACATAATGCCCTTGAGGGGGTATTTCAATCTAATCATGTTCATGATGCTTACTCAGTGCACTGTGACCTTCCTGTTTTAAATATGTCAGCCAGCAAATATATCATTGATTTTGCTATAAAATTCACTTCATGACAGAGCAATTGCTGAATATCTGTCCCGTGATCTTCCATACAAGCTAACATCTGATGATGTTTTCGTCACATCTGGTTGCACACAAGCTATTGATGTCGCATTGGCAATGCTTTCGCGTCCTGGTGCCAATATCTTGCTTCCAAGGCCAGGCTTCCCTATTTATGAACTTTGTTCTGCTTTTCGACATCTTGAAGTTCGACATTTTGATCTTCTGCAAGAGAACGCCTGGGAGGTTGATCTTGATGCTGTTGAAGCTCTTGCAGATCACAACACGGTTGCAATGGTAATTGTAAACCCTGGGAATCCTTGTGGGAATGTATACAGTTACCAACATCTGGAGAAGGTTAGTGGTCAATGGTATGGCATAAAACAAAAGACTGTACTTTAAGAGACCACGTTTTGGACACTGGCATTGGATTCGGTTGTAACTTATAGTTTTTGTATTGCACTTAGATTGCAGAAACTGCAAAAAAGCTTAGAATTCTAGTAATTGCTGATGAAGTTTATGGGCATCTGGCTTTTGGAGGTAAACCATTTGTGCCAATGGGATTCTTTGGATCAACTGTTCCTGTTCTTACTCTTGGGTCCCTGTCAAAGAGATGGATAGTTCCTGGATGGCGACTTGGTTGGTTTGTGACAAGTGATCCGTGTGGCATGTTTAGAAAACCCAAGGTTCTCTCTCTCTCTCTCTCTCTCTCTCTCTCTCTCTATACTTCTTTGGTACTTCTTAATTCATTAATCTCAGAATCATGAAGTCCATTTAAACTGATTTATGTACCATTTCAAACAATCATAGTGCATTGTCTATTGAATAGAATTAGCCCCTTTCTCTCTGCCATGTAGTGGACTTCATGATTTATCCGGAGTTTCTTAACCAGTTTGAAGCACATCTTAAAAGTCTAATTGATTTTCCATATGGCCAAGAAATAGGATTAGGTCTCTTGATTCAGTTGTTTTGCTGATTCATGGGTTTAACATTGTCAATGGAATAAAGCTTCCAGTTAGACTTGGTATACATGGTTTTTCATACTCACTTATCTGCATCTGGACATTTAGCTTTTAGTATTCACATCTCATAGTTCATAATTTCTTCTGTTGATCATAACTTGTCCTAGTTTTTAAAATTATATCATCCACTTCTAGTAGTGATTGTATATCGCTTTCCTGTTCAGGTTGTTGAGCGCATTAAGAAATATTTTGATATTTTGGGAGGACCTGCAACCTTCATTCAGGTGTGCATTTCATTTGCTTGTTTTGAATTGCTTAAACACCATATACTAGTTTTCTTGATTACTGTCATTGTTTGATTTTAGATCATGCAACTTGCAGCTTCTGTCCTCAAAAGAACTATTTCTTAAAGCTATTTCAAGATTGGTATAATGAAAGGAAATTTCAAGTACAAACCGTTTAAAGTTCAAAATTTAGTCCCAATTCCTCGGAAATTGTAGTCAAAACCTGAAAAACACAATACAGTATTACATTTCCTCTGCAAATACTCTGTACGGATAGAGAAACAAGTTTGGTACATATTACTTCTGCTCTTTGAAATGTGAGGAAATTAATTTGGACTATGCAAGCCTACTCAAGTCAGAGCATTAACTTATTGTTCATCTCTGTTTCATGATGACATATTTGGTAAGTTATAGGCAGCAGTTCCACGCATCATCGAGCAAACTGAAGAGGTTTTCTTTAAGAAAACTATCTATTTACTGAAGCAGTCCTCAGATATTTGTTGCGATCGGATAAATGAGATTCCTTGTATTAACTGTCCAAACAAACCAGAAGGATCTATGGCTGTAATGGTGAGAAAAATAGGAGATGAAACTAAATTTTGCATTCTTATGTATTTACATCACCTTCCTTATTTATTTTGTTTGTGATGCAGGTGAAACTAGACCTTTCACTGCTGGAAGATATTACTGATGATATTGAGTTTTGTTTCAAGCTGGCTAAAGAGGAATCTGTGATCTTTCTTCCAGGTTAGAAATCGACAAATCGAAAACATATTTTGTACTTCTTCTCTCAGTATACAATATTATCAAGAACAAATGGAAATTACAATCCTAGTGAATATCATAGTACTAATAATTGGTTTTCTTTAAATAAAATTTCTTTTGTAGGGGCTTACAAAGTTATAAGCTTCTCCTTGGTACTTAATGACTAACAAATGAAATTTACATTTGCTTTCCAGGGACAGCAGTGGGGTTGAAAAATTGGCTACGTGTTACATTTGCTGCTGATCCAAACTCTATTGAAGAAGCTTTAAGGAGGACAAAATGTTTCTATCAAAGGCATGCCAGAAAATTATAGATACATTCATACATATATGCCGGTAGCAAGAAATAGCTAATTATATGTAAACCAGCTTGAAAATTCTTGTTGCTGATGGCATGGTCATTTGTACTGAAAATACTGTTCTTCCACTGCCCATTTGTAATGAATTACTAATAATAGATCATATGACATTCATCGCCTTTTTTGTTGCAAATTTTGAAGCATTACGCGATAGTATCCAGATGATCAAGACCCAACACAGTTGCCAAGCGCGACTGACAATAGCACAACTTTTTTGCATCAATATTACTTGTGGCTCACACTCATCAATAGCTTAAATGCCGCTGCTCGCGACTGAGGGTACCACAACTCTTGCATCAATATTTTTTGTTCTAAAGTTAACCGTTCTTTTTGCTTTGGCAGAGGTGTGGGGTTTTAGGGTTTTACCTTAAAAACCCTCACAACAACTTAGGGAGATATTCTAATATTTCTCATCTTTGGCTAATTAGGATTTGACAGGTGAATGCTGATGGCATCCAAACTTGTCTTATTTTTCATATTTGGCTGCATATAAAGCGAGCGCAAGGGAACCTTTTAATAAAGAATTAAAAAAGGGTAATGACTTCCCCACTCCCTTTTTATCTACTTACACTCATTTTTTAATTATAAAATAAAGTGTAAGTGGATAAAATTGGAGTGGGAAAATCACCACTCTTAAAAAAATGCACCTTTGATTATAGTTTAATTGGTTCCACGTCAATTTACTTATATTTATTTATCATTTATTTAGGATAATGATTTCCCCACTCCCTTTTTATCCACTTACACTCATTTTTTAGTTATAAAATGGAGTGTAAGTGGATAAAATTGGAGTGGGAAAATCACCACTCTTAAAAAAATGCACCTTTGATTATAGTTTAATTGGTTCCACGTAGCCAATACCGTCTGTATTTGGGAAAGAGGCCATAGTCTGCCAAGAGAGTCGTTTGCATGTCAACCCACAGTTCAAAAAGCATAGAAATCATTACATTCGAACACAGATTTAAATCATAAAACAAAGCTTTTTTTTTTAATAAATACTACGACTCGAACTCAGGACTTTACTTGGAAGAGCAATTGCTCCAAACCACTACTACACAACTCAGGACTTTACTTGGAAGAGCAATTGCTCCAAACCACTACTACACTAGCGAGTCCTTTGCATAAAACAAAGCTTTTAACTTATGCGGTTTGTCATCATTGATTTTTAGGTAAGCTGTCCGAATAAAAAGAACCTTCATATTTTTAAAAAAAAAATTATTTAAAAAGAATCTTGAATCATGAAATTTTTAGTTTTTTTTAACAAAATAAATGACTAGACATTTTGTTTCTAGCTAGACAAAGTTAAATTCTAACATTAATTAATTAAACATAAAGTATTTATTTGAAATCCCAAAGAAAACTTATAAACTTCAATGAACTAATCTTATCTCATATCTCATTTACTAGAATCTTATTTTCTTATCAGCATATAAAACTTAGCATATAGGAAGAATTAGTATTGCTTTGCTGCAATCATCACACAGTAACTTGTGATAGAATCTCTCCACTAATAAGAGAACAACAGTAAGAACAAAAGTCAGTAACCGGATACACTGCAAGACAAACAGCAAACTTTCAATGCAAAGGGTTGAAAGTTGAAACAGAAAGGGGTCCCCTTTCATTATAATTAATTAGAATAGTTAATACCAACAAAGGCAATTCTATATCATTCCACTTGCTATGCCCTTCCCTCCTATAAATTATACGTCCATCAGTCTTCTTCCTCACTTTTCTTGCTTGTCTGTAGTTAGCTCTGTTAATTTCTGCTTCTGGTAATCCATGGCAAGCTACAGCTCTTCTTCTGACCAGAAATCAGGTGAGCTTTTGTTTTATTTTGTGTAGTTTTCTTTTTTGGGTTGTCCCATTTTGTAATTTACCTGATCATGATGATCTATAAACATAATTGGTGCTTTGGTTGTTGATGGACTTGCTATTGATGTTGCTGCTGTTGTGAAGACACATTGGAGGCTGGAAATGTCGAGGATTGCAAAGTTCATGTGTTTAAATCATCATCCGAGGTGAGAACTCGAAACCCCCAGTTTTTATATCACAGCCTACCAAGGTTTTTGTAACTACAAGTCACAGTATGATCGTAAGGGCAACATGTTTTCCATTCTTCATCAAGTTATGTTCTGCAAATACCTTTCTGTCAGTGTCAGGTATTTTGATCTATGGGTAGAAGGAGGAGAACATAATAAATCAATATTCAATCTAGGATCCCGCATGTGGCTGAGATTATTTCGGCTGTAAATCGTGATGGTTGCACCAAGTTGTGAACCTTGTTAATCAGCTATGACCTTAAATTTGAAGATCATTCTGATTGGAGATTATAATGCTTAGATGGTTTCCTAATATCTGGTCATAACTGTGTTCGCCGTACAAAAGGCAAACATTACTCTACATGTTTTGTGCATACAATGACATAGTACAGTTGTTTGTAACTCGGTTCCAAATCATCTTTAGTGTGTGTGTGTGAGTATGGGTGTGTGATCGAAGGTATTGGGTTTAGAGAGTTCTTAGGTAGTTCCCTAATTTCCTTACTGACTTGATTGGCTCACGAATTTGTCACTTCCTCATATGTTGTAGTGACTAAATTTGCACTTCTGGTTTCGGCAGTCATGTCATTTTCTGTTGTGAGATCAATGGCTTGTTACTTAAGTATCCTTCTTATGGCCTAATCTAAAATTCTACTCCTGATTTCTTTTGGACTAATTCTGAACTTTCTAAGCTTATACTATGTCATCAACCAGTTGCTTGAAAAGCTGCATGAGAAGTGGAGCAAGGTTGAAAAACAACCATACCCAGCCATGTATTCCAGCACTTATGGTGGAATTATTCTTGATCCAGCTTTGATGGTAATTCCAATAGATGATCACATGGTTCATCGAGGCCATGGTGTGTTTGACACAGCGATTATCTTAAATGGGTAGGCATTATACTTTCCTCTTTCCTTCTTTGAAATTTACATTGGCACATCTCAAGCTTTATGGCTTCTGCTTTGCAATGTTTTTGTTGTAAGGTTTCATGCAATTATAGGATTCTAAGTTTCGTACTTTTGTTTGCATATCCAATAAAGGAGCAGAATTGCAGTTATTGACTTGAATTGTGATTCCTGCAGATTCATCTATGAACTGGACGTCCACCTAAACCGCTTCCTCAGATCAGCTTCAAAAGCAAAGATTTCCTCACCCTTCCCTCGATCAACTCTTCGAAGCATTCTTGTGCAACTGGCTGCAGCATCACAGATCAAGAAAGGAACTCTAAGATATTGGTTGAGTGCAGGTCCTGGAAACTTCTTGCTCACGCCTGCAGAGTCCTCAACACCAGCGTTCTATGCAGTAGTCATCGATGAGAACTTTTCTCAGTGCAAAGAAGGAGTTAAAGTGATTACATCCACTATTCCCATGAAGACACCAGACTTTGCAACAATGAAGAATGTAAACTACCTTCCAAATGTCCTTTCAAAGTTGGAAGCTGAAGAGAAGGGAGCCTTTGCTTCCATATGGGTTGATGAGGAAGGTTATATAGCAGAAGGTCCAAATGTGAATGTTGCTTTTATAACTCATGACAAGGAGCTGGTAGTACCCTTCTTTGATAAGATCCTTAGCGGGTGTACTGTGCTAAGGCTTCTTGAACTAGCACCAAAACTTGTTGAGCAGGGGCGGCTAAAAGGGGTGAAAACTACAAATCTTACTGTGGAAGAAGCCAAAAGCTCAGCTGAAATGATGTTTGTAGGAAGCACACTTCCTGTTTTGCCAATTATCGAGTGGGACGAACAACCCATCGGGGATGGTAACAGCTTTCTCTTAAACTGTTCTTCACCTTTGAATGAATACTGAGGCTCCCTACTCTTTTCTGTAGTAAAATCATCTCCCCTGCTTCTTCAATGCAGAGATATTTTGATTTCTTACAAGACAATGCATTGCTGATTTTTTTAATTGGTTTTTTTTTTTTTTTTGGTCTGATTTTTTTAATTGGTTTTGTATAACAGGAAAGGTGGGAGAACTGACAATGGCACTCTCAGATCTGGTTTGGGAGGATATGGTAGCAGGCCCGACTGGTACGCAGAGGATAGCTGTTCCCTACATATAGGGGTAATCAATTTCAGGAAGGCTGAAGGAAGGCTTCTTGCATCTAGCTGCCTCATTGCTCATTGTCCCTGGTGTTACAAATGCCTTGTGCATGCTTCATCTTTGATTTCTTTGATTGTGAAGATGGAAAAAAATGATGGAATAAAATACTTGAGAAAGCTTTCTTGGAAGGGAAATCTTTTAGCAGAAGTGCATTCTGCAAAATATTGAAAACTACAAGATAGCTTTTTCTTGGAATGGAAATCTTTTACCCCTGAGGAACAATGTATTCTAACTATGAACTGCATTAATTTGCTCTAGTTCACAGGGATAGCTTCAATTCATGCGTCATTCGCGTGAGATGGTTTGGATTTACTTAATCTCTTCCCAATCTGTATCAGTGTATGCATCATTTGTTTCCTTCAGATTTTTATTCCAGAGGAGGCAACGCAACATTTAGCAGAATCAAATTTTTGCCTGCATGACTATCCTGTTTTGCCCGATTAGCCCTATCTCATACGCCTCCTAGATTTATAGTCAAAGAGTCCGATCTTAACTTATCTTGCCTGTTTTGAACCAAAATGGGAAGGAACAAGGGAACAAAGGAGATTCCACAAAGAGACTTTTCAAATTGAAGTGTTAAACCTAATGAGTCCAACATTTACATCTCCTAGTGCTAAGATCACTCTCATCTAGGCATTTGCACTGAAAAACTGGTCAAACTGGCCGAACCGGACCTTAAGCCGGTTTGGTCCAGTTTGATTTTTTTTTTCTTCTGAATTTCGGTATTAAAACTAAACCAGGCCAGTTACGACAGTTTAACCAAACCAAACCGGCCTGCATTAATTTCTTTTTTTCCTTTAAAAAATGATCACATTTCCATGTGGCATAAGCCTATAGTTTGGTTTAGAACTTATCATAGTGCTCTTCACATGCCCTTTTAGCATAAACAAATGCGATCATTGGTCGCAATGGTGGAGGCAACTTAGGTGCAAAAATATCATGAATGTGCAAAATAGCTGCTATAAGTATATTATGCTTATGTGTGTTAACTTCACAGTGCACATTCATTTTATGTTGCTTCAGTATCATAAACCAAGTATATGTTATGTTGGATAAACCAAAATAAAGGGAAAAAGTATTTTCTGTTTTCTCATGGGCTAAATCACCATGTTCGTTAGAAAGCTACTAATAGAATAGCATAATCTGAGCACATAGTCTAAGTAGCAACTGTCAATTTGCATTTTAGGTACATTTGATACAGCGCTGAGCCAAAACATGACATAAATCTTGGTGGTCCTAGATTACAGGTATAGAAATGCATCACAAGAGCTAGACCTAATCGCACTGAACCAATTCATTTGGTTTCTAGGCTTTACAGAGAAACAAAAAGGAAGATAATAAAAATGTTACCAGATGCATATAACATGCTCATATTATGGAATTAAGCCAAAATGCTTCAAGGTTCTTGGATCTCCGGTGTTAAAGCCTGTGCAAGTGTTTTTGCATCAAGAATTGTTGGTTCAGTCCCTTAGAAGATGATCACTTGCAAGCCCCAAATCTGCAAGAAGATGCCTTGAATCGTGTCATGCTGAGTTACTCACTCTTTGTGCTATCGTCCCCAGTGTACAAGATTCTTAAAGGTCTTTAAAATGAAGAAATGGTGATACAAAACAATTGAAGATCTAAATTGGAAAAAGTAATCAACAAGTATCTCCACAAATCATTAAAACACATATGAGAAATACAGGCTATACACCATTGAAAATTAACTGGTACACCATTAAAATGCAGATGTTAAATGTTATGTCTTCATCATGCTTTGTTTGTGTCCCACTTTACCAGCTGTAAGCATGATCAAAGAATTTATGCCGTAACACTTTATATTAGAAACTGAGTTAAGCACTTGTTATTTTCTTCTAACCTGAGCATTAGCTCGAAGAAGTGGTGAGACAAATTTGAGACAAATTCGAAACAACATCCTTCAATTGAACATGAGTTGTCCTAAAAACTTGACTGAGTTAAGCACTTGTTATTTTCTTCTGACCTGAGCTAAGTGGTGAGACAAATTTGAGACAAATTCGAAACAACATCCTTCAATTGAACATGAGTTGTCCTAAAAACTTGAGTAATCAGAGAATTTCCGATTTTTCTACGAATGTTCAGAGAAAACCGTTAGAGTTACTCGTTGCAGAACAACTCCCAGCTCTCTTCTACATTCTAGACAATGAAGAGTAACTTTACCGATGCCACCCATTCCAAAGATTGAAACTCCAATATCACATGCCTTGTCCTCGGAAATTTTCCATGAATCGATAACTTCTGTTTCCTCCTCTAAACTAGTGATTTTCAATGCTTCGTCACCTGAGGAGGAAGATTCTGACCAAGGATCTACCATCTCATCCACCACAGATGCCTTTCAAACAAGCACGAACACACGCATAACTTGAGAGAAAGAGAGGTTTCTTCCTTCAAGTTCCCAAAGTACGATCTTCAGATCTTGTGAGAGGGTTTAGGGGCTATGCAAAGAGATGGGGTTTTATTTTAATAGAAGAGTGGGTGAGTTTCTTTGGAGGCCAACGAAAGGGCATCTTTCTTTCACATTTATCGTGCCGTGCCCACTGGCTTCGGTGTTTAGTCGGCATCTTGGGATGCTTTCTTTCTTTATTTTATCTGTGGGGCAGTGCGCATCAACGCATTGCCAGTGATGACATTTGCTGCCCAATCTTTGGTGACCTTCTGCCCGAGATACACGTGCCTTTTGTCAATTCTTACGGCCCCACGTTTGTCTGTTTGGTTTGAATTTTGAAATTGTTCTAAAATTTTACTGGTTTGAACTTTGAGGCTGCGGTTGTTGTAGCTGGAGTGAAAATGTGAAATGCATGCATCGTCCATCTTAAACGTTTTCTGTATCAAACCCCCACCCACATCCATTCTCCTACGGCTGTACAGTGAAAAATCAGTGGCCTTGGCCCTATAGGTAGGTAGTTCTGCCGATTTTGTTGGTATGCAGTTATGAACAATTAATTGTTTGTGACCAATTTTTTTTTGTATGCTAGTTATTAATTCGTACTGTTAGGTCACTAGCGAGACGACTCATAAATTTAGTCGTCAAAAACGTTTTATTTTTGCGTACAACGAAGAGAATCAAACTCTTATGCTAACACAATTTAAGAGCTCAAAACATCTTATGACATGGTTTGCCGAGCTATCTGTTACATTTCTTTCCCATTTTCATGACGCTTTCGTCTTCTGTGCTAGGGGTGAGAAATGGTGAGGCCATAAGATACGAAAATTTCTTTGTTTTGGGCCATCAATCCAAATAGCTTCATTCTTTTATTTAATTTCTTGTTAAAATATTTATTTGGTGTTCCTCTTGGTAAATTATTGTTGCAAAAGAAAATGGACAGGCTATCAAGGTTGACCTTTTTCTGCCCACACGACAGGCTTTATTAAAGGCATGAAGAAAAAAAAACCTATGGAACTGGGCTATCGACTTCTGGCTTTAAAAAAAAGGAAACAAGACATGTTTCCATGTACTAGTTTGTTCCCATTTGAAGACATTGTGATATATGCTTGTCTAAACTTATATCAGATCTTGACCACACAAAAAAACTTATATCAGACCCAAAAAAAACCTTATACCAGAACTCAAGGATTGTTGGTAAAATAAACCAAATTGATGTATTTGAATCAAGTGGCAGGCAATCAAATTATCTCCTTTTCACATCTCTTCCAAATGTGAGAGTGAGCTACTCCTCTTCCTTTTTTCCACATCTCCTAAACAGTTAAGGGCTGCAAAAATAAGTGGGCTGCCTTTGTTGTATTAAAGAGGTCCAAAAACCCTTCAACAAGTTAAACTTTTGAAAAAGAAGGGGAGGCCAAACCATCGTTAGCCTTCCCTAGAGAGAGAGAGAGAGAGAGAGACTACCTCCTTTTGCCTCAACAAATGTTAAAAAAACGGTCGTTGGTCTCCTCAGGCCAGTGAAAGGCCAGCAACGCCGAGGTCTGTTAAGTGGACAATCAGCGCTCATCAATGGTTGGCTTTCTATTCGTAAGAAGTTAAGAACGTTTACTCGTGCATTCAAAGTCCTGTTTTAATTTCTCACTCGCTCTACTCATACCCATACCAACATGTTAACACGTAAATATCAGGCACAAAAACCCCTCTATAAGCTAAGCTTCAATTGCTTTATTAATTTTCATGATGGGTTAGGCACCAAAATGTTATTCATATTGTTATTGAAGGAGAGATTCTAGTGATTGACATGCTCTCAGAAACAAACTTCCAGCACCTTGGGGTCGTAGGGTCTCATCAGTCATATATAATCTTCAAAGGCGCATGTTGAACCTTGGAAGGAACCGCAGCTTTACACCTATTAGTATGCTTTTTGCCAAAATTAAAAAAGGAAAGGGGGGAAATTCACACACAGGTACCATGAGACTTGAACCTATCGTCTTGGTGACAAGAGCACAGGTAAATGTAGGTTTACTACAGTGGACCTTGTTTGTAGAATTATATTTTTTTTCAATAATAAAAATGAATTTAGTTAAAATGTAGGTTTGGGTGTGGAGATCAATTCTTGATCAACATGGTGCCATGACACACACTGGTCTTTGGTTTGGGCTACAAATACTAGAGAGGCCCAAGGCAGCGGTAGCGTGGAAGTCACAAGTGAGTGAAGAATAAGATGCTAAAGTAGTAATTAAATGGCATATACGTAGCGTCAGGTCAATTACACTAAAATAAAAGCGCACCAAAAACGCTAACACAGAAAGCGAGCGAGCGAGAATCGGTAGAGAGAGAGAGAGAGAGAGAGGAGTCAGAATAGAAAGAAAATCCATTTGCCGAAGATTTCGATTTTAGGGTTAGGTTTTAGGGTTTTGAACTTAGAAGCCATGTCGACGATCACCAACAAAACGGCACCGTCTCAGCAACCCCAGCAGAGCAATGCCAAGCCAGGTCTCAGGAAGCCCGTCTTCACCAAGGTCGAGCTCCTCAAGCCGGAGACCAGTGGCCACACCCTCGTCGCCAAGGTCCTCACCTCCAACCCTGTCTTGCAAAAGGGCCGATCGGTCTCTCAGCACCTCCGCCAGACCCGAATCTCTGAGTGCCTCATTGGGGACGAGACTGGGACTATTCTCTTCACTGCTAGGAATGATCAAGGTATTGGCTTTTCTTATTTTCCTGTTTGTTTGGTTGCCTGGAAAATCGAGGAAATAATGGGAAATTTAGCTTATGCATTTTTTGTGTTTGGATTGTGATAAATTGACTTTATTTGGCTATTTGGTTTAATAATAAATCCATGTGTATTATGTTTATCTTTTAGTGATTTGTTTGTATATGTATTGGTTGCTGACAAAATGGATAAGATTCAAACGAGAAAGGGAAACTCAAATGAATTAGAGAAAATGGTTTTAGTAGGCTTTTGGGCATTGTATTCACTGCACGTTTAGTAAATTATTTGTTTTGGTCTTCTTCCAGTGTTTTTGGCTTGATTTAGCCACCTAAATAAGGTCTCTTTTCTGAAATGGACATTTTGTTATGTATTTTCTCTCTGTTTGCCTTTTCAAAATATTGAGACAATGCAGTAAATTTGTTGATCTTGGCCGCAAAAAAACCTGAAACAAATATCTATGCCACTGGTAAAAGTTTGCTTATTAGTTATGCCATTAAGAGATCATTGGTTTTATCAAAGAAAAGTCAAAAGTTACACATTACTTATTCTCTTTGCTGGTATTTGGCGAAGTTCTTAATAGATTGATTGGAACCACAAGCTTTGTGAATTGTGTAGTTTTCTGTTGTTTAAACTCTGTTTGTAGTAGGCTTGGTGCTGTGGAGTGCCATTGTCTCCAATACTTGGATTAATCAAGACATCTTTTTCGTTATTAGTACTGTCTCTTTTATATAAATATATAACTATTTACTGTCTGTTTGTGGTGTTTTTGTTAAATCTTTTAACTATGCAAAGATATTGTGGTGGACTTGATATATATTGGTACAATAAGCAGCGTGTTGCAAGTATAAAATTACGAAGAAAAAATAGGAAGAATTGGGGCATTGAAGCCTTTCTTTAAGGGCTGCCAGAGTCAAGTTTGGATTGAGTTTGCAGCTAGATAATAGGAATTAAGTACTAATACTTCATCCAAAACTTGTGAAATTTAGTTAATAGTACTTTGTAATATGAAAAATATTACAATGGTCTGGCATCGAAGAAGTGCTTGTTTATTGGGATGGGACCGCTGTCGAATGTTTAGCCTATTGAGGATGATGTAGAGGTGATATTTTTGGATCTTAGGACATGATTTGAGTAGAACTTTTTACTACAGAAAATGAGCAATATATTGGCTTACATAAAGTTGCTCAACTTTAGCAGGATAGTTGAGGAAATTTGGCGTTAAGTCTAGTTGAGCAATTCTTCTGTTGCACTTCACATAGTAGCTCCTGTTGAGTTAGAGTCTGACATTTGATCATCTTGATGTGACATTATGTTTTAATTTTTGAGCAATCTGCCTCAATGTAAGATTATGTTGATGCTATGATTAATCTGCCTAATGTTGTTTCTTGAAACTAATGTAATAATGTTCCTAAGGTTTTGCTTTGTCTGTTGAAAATGGCCATGGAAATGGATTTCACTCCTATTCAAGTTCTCTTATAAGATTATGATGCCAACATGTATAACTATTCTAGTTGTGTTTATTGCGAAATTGCTTGGAAGGTTTTATACAACCAACTGTAGCTTCACAGTTTTTTGATTTAGGTGTTTTACTGAGATAATTGTTCTACTTTACTGTATCTTTTATTGCTTTGTTGTTTGCTCAGTTGACTTGTTGAAGCCTGGTACAACTGTTATTCTCCGCAATGCAAGGATTGACATGTTCAAAGGATCTATGAGGCTAGCAGTTGATAAATGGGGCCGTATTGAGGTCACTGAACCTGCAAATTTTGTAGTCAAGGAGGATAACAATCTCTCTTTAGTTGAATATGAGCTGGTGAACGTTCAGGAGGATGGAGGGGCTCCGCCTGGTAGCTAGTATATTTGACAGAAGAATCAACAGAAGTATCAAAATCTATAAAAGCTTTGATGGTTGGTTTTGTTCTTAATTAATAGTAATCTGCTGTTGCTGCTGCTGCTTGGGTTATATCCTATTGATGGAATGTTTAGTTTGGGATTGGTTAGGAGATGTTTTTGTGGAAAAGACTCGGTGTTTTAATATAATTTGCATGGCGTAGAGTGTTGTTCGATGTGGCAGGAACAGCTAGTGTCCTTTACTGAAAGGCGGAAATGTAAACAAGTGTTAATTTTCTTATATTTCTTCTCGTCTTTAGCATCCATCAGTTCCATACTTATTTTGTGCTTTTTCTTTTTCTTGTTTACATCCATCTGTTGAATGCTTCGGCATTATTATATGTGCTAATTGCGTAGATCGACTTGCTGGTTGTTGAAAAATTTTCTAACACTGAACGCTGGTCTGAAAATTTAACAAAAGCCATCCATTTTGGGCTTGAAGCACTTGGCTATGTTCAAGTGCATAGCATTCTTGTTCCAATTGGGGTCCAAATATAATCAATCGCATTCATTTTCGACTGTTTATGGTGTTTATGTCATTTTACTTTTTACATTTC